CAGGAAGGCTATACTGCTACAAGCAATGGCACAGGGGACCAGCAGGCACCAGGTACCTTTCTGTACCACTTGATTTGGCCAACACAGTTAATACATCACTCACTAAGTAGCCAGAGAGAAATTGCCATATGGCCCAGCCTGCTGTTCCTCTACTAGAAGAACCAAAAGATATGTGTACTCCAAAGGCGCAGCTTGTTCCTGCTCTAGCATCCATGTGTGCAGCAGGAGGGAGCAGAGCCACAGCCATCTGCTGGGCAGGTACCAGTGGGGAGAGCCAGGGGTCAGGGCAGGAGCCTCATTTCAGCTGCTCCTGTGCCTGGGCTGCAGGGACACTTTCCAGGCTCCTAGTTGTGGCTGCAGAGTGAACAGTTTCATAGTGTGTTAAGGGGTTGGGATGGAGCTTAGAGATCACCCAGCCCCAACCCCCTGCCCTGGGCAGGGACACCTCCCACCAGAGCAGGTTGCTCAAGGCTTTAGCCAACCTGGCTGTGAACACTGCCAGGGTTGGGGCAGCCACAGCCTCCCTGGGCAACCTGGGACAGTGTCTCACCACCCTCACAGGAAAAAACTTCCTAATATCTCATCTAAATTTCCCCCTTTCATTTTATCCCCATTGCTCCTTATCCTATCACTGCAGTTCCTAAGAGCTTCCTCCTCTTCAGGGGGTGGAGGGAGTGGTACACAGAACACTCTTCTCTTTGGCCCTAGTGTAGCCCTGGGTGAAGGCTGGCGAGGCAGAGGTGTGTGTTGTGGTTGCCTGGCCTGCAGCCTGCTGTGTGCTCAGACACCTGTGCTGTCTGTGAGGTTTCACCAGGGTGAGTAATAAAGGCTCAGCTGAGTCTGTTGGATTTGTGCGTGAGTGACCAAGGCATCTCCCGATTCCCTTCTGGCTTCCCCCCAGTGCCTTCCCCTGCTGGCACCAACCTGGGGGTCCTGGCTTGGTGGCTGTGAGCCTTGCAGAGAGACTGCTGTGGCTTCCAGCCCCCCAGGGATGGAAATGCTGGGGCTGGGGGAGCCAGCCTGGGAAGGGCTGCTTGGCAGATATCCCTGTGGTGGCACTGGTTTGAGCATGCAGCCCAGGCAGATCTGGCCCCACTGGTGCTGTCAGACTGGCCTGTTTGCACAGACCACTAACCCAGCAAGCTGCTGAACAGCCCTGGGAGAGCAGGCAGGATGCAGCAGGTTGGGCTCAGTGTTCCTGTGTGGCTGGTTCCTCCTGAACCCCAGCCCTGCCCTGCTCTCGTGTCAGGGCAGAGGCTGCCAGAGAAGCTTTCCCAGCTCTCAGCTGGCTGCTGTGTGGGCAGGGAGCTTCCCCTGGCTCTGGGAGGGATGACAGCTTTGGAGGGCTGGTGATTTCCTCTGGCTGTCAGCTCAGCCTGGGCAGGGGCCTGGCAGCACTGGCCAGGGAAGCTGCACTGCATGGACTGCAGTCCAAACCCTTTCCGCTCCTGTGCTGGAAAAACTTCGACTTGGATCATTAGTTTAACAGCATAAATATAAACATGTGGTCACTTCACCCCCACGTGGGTATGATGGTGTCATTTTTCCCGTGCAGTGCTGCAGCAGTTTGCTGGTTTCCAGGGAGTGCAGGGAAGCCTTTGGGTTGGAAGGGACCTTAAAGATCATCTCATTCCACATCCTGCTATGGGCAGGGAC